TGAATTTTCCCCTCTCATATCACAATCAAATCCAGCTTTCACATTTTCATTAGTTACCCAAGATGTAAATGGTGTTTGTATTTAAAGATTTCAACTTGGTCTCCTTTATTTGCATGTAATTGAACTTGTTAATACAAGTGCTTAATCCTTTGTTGATTAGTACCTTATATTCAAGAGAGGGTAAATTAGACCTCCAATTACAAACACGAGTCTTGATTGCACGGTCCTTAAAACAAGGCACTGATCTCTTTTAACATGACACCGTTAAATTTTCAGTTTCTTTACAGTAGCCAATTTGCTGCTCCGTTATCCTAGACCGTTGACCGAGGTGAGGTGTAAGTGATAAGCACCCGCTCAGACTAATGTCTTCTCCTGTGGCTTGGCACCACACTTGTGGGCCTGACCAAAAACAGGAACACTCCGTCATGGGCTTGTGTTTCTCAGAGCTCACGTCAGCCTGTCACAGCGCTGTGATACTCTACTCCTCCTCCAGGTCTGCTACAGTATCAGTGATGAGGAAAAGGTCAAAGAGTCAATGAGGAATTAAGACATGCTTCCCTGAGCATTCCCCATGCAGCATTACAGCACTCACGCTAACTCACATGAAAAGGAAGAGCCAGCCATTCAGGCTAATAGTGCTGATCAGATTTCGCTGGGTGTCTAAATGATTTCCATTAAGGCCAATGATGTAATATAGGGGTTGCTTGCCTGAATATATATTGGGAATAAGGGGCAGGTATGTAGTAATCAATGAAATAGTGATATGTCATTTGTTTTCAAATTTGATATAATTTCTTCATAAGGATTATTGTCAATTCATTATAGGCTACAGGGTTTCTGCAGGTTTTTGAAAGCAAATTAAGACTTTTAAGGCCTTTTTAAAACCACATAAAAATTAAGTAATAAATAAAAGGGAACATACACATCAAAATATTCTGTAAATGTAAATGCCTAAGGAGTAGACAATGAGTTTTTTTAGCACCACTTCAAACATCCAAAAGATACTAATACTTTTTACTTTATTTAACTATGGAAATAACTTTTACTGTATTCTGATCACATTGCAAAAAGTGAGGCCCTTCCAGTTTTTTTGGTCATTTTTTCCCAGTACAAATGTCTAAAGATTCTTAAATCAAGATATACTGAGAAGCAAAATAAAAAATAAATAAAAAAATTGAGTTTATAATTAAAACAAGAACAAATATCCACCAGTGGAGTAAGAAAATAATTTTTCATACCCCATTGACAGATATTTTTTCGTTTTAAGTATAAACTCAATTTTATTCAACTTCATACTGTATCTTCATATTGTATCTCACTAAAATGTATATTGGATGCAATGTATATTTATATTGGGATATGACAAAAATAGTGAGGAAAATTTGTGTGTGTGTGTGTGTGTGACTTTATGAATTTAAGACTTACTGCTCTGATTTAAGACCTTTTTAAGGCCTTGATTTTTAAGACCCACTGAAACCCTATTATAACCCTGAAATGGCTATAATTCGTACTAGATTTAGTCATTAGACAATGGCTCAGTTGAATCAAAATCCCTTGGAATTACAGTTTGCAAGACAAAGGCCAAGAGGTCCATTGATTTGCATGTAATACATGACATTATTACTTTGGTACTGCTACCTAAGAGAGAAGGCAACAAGGCCAGAAAATCGAGGCCTCTGATAAATGTGCTCAGCAGAAAGCTTTGAGAAGTCTAGAGGATCAATATGGTAGTTTGTCAAAGCCAATCTCAGAGGCAATGTGACGAAGGATCCTGCAGAAGAGAGCCAGAGTCAGCAAAGTACATGATCAGAAATCAAAACATCTGAGAATGACAGGGGGAGGGGGTTAGGGTGGGTCCTGGACGAAGGCCACACTTCCTCTATTGTAATTAAAAACCATTTTATCAGACCTGTCCTCCAAACAATCCCTCTTGCTTTCTATTGACAATATGCCAGGCAGGGTGTGAGCTCTAATTTGACTTTAAATAAATTAGCTGAAGGTATTTAAAATTCTGCATTAGCTTTAGGGAAGAAAACAAGTGGGAAAACAAGGAGTTGCAGAGCCTATAAACTTCAAAGAACACATCAGATGCATCACAATAATGCCTAATAATCACGATAATAACGGTTGTCTACGTATCTGGTAGGAACTGTATGGAAATTGAAGAAAAGTTGACAAGAAATTTAGAGAAAGTGTCAGCTTGGCTTGATGCCTCTTTTTTAACTTTAAATACTAAAAAGACAAAGTCCATATGCTTTTCAATAAGAAAATTACCGGTAACAGAATCATTAAACATTAGAATTAAAGATGAGATTATAGAACAAGTATCAGAAGAAAAATATCTTGGTATGATTTTAGATTCCAAGTTCAATTTTAAAAGTCATGTTAAAAAGTTGCGTAAAACGATTAAAGCAAATCTTACCAGCTTTAGAATAATAAGAAATTGTTTAACATATGATCATGCTTTTTTGTTTTTAAATTCGATGATATTATCACACATGGCATATGGATTAGCTATTTGGTCTCAGACAAATCAATCCATAATTAATCAGGTTAAATGTCTTTACAATAGAGCTTTGAAAATTTTAGATAGAAAGCAAATAAGATACCATCATTGTCAGATCCTAAGCAAATACAAGATTTTGAGCTTTGCTCACTTTGTCTTTTTTCATTATGTAAAGTTTGTGTTTAAATGTTTAAATGGTCTTGCTCTTATGCCCTTATGTACATTTTTCGAGAGATTGCAGGGAAGCAGTAGATCCACTAGAGCGGCTTCTAGTGGAAACTGTAAAGTTATACATTGTAAAACATCATTTGCTCAGACTGTTCTCTCAGTGAAAGGTGTAAAATTTTGGAATTCATTGCCTATTTAAAATCTACTGTAAATTTTAATTATTTTAAGAAAGCCACGAAATCTTGGTTGATACATCAACAAACCTGTAGTCATGTTTAGTGTATTTATATTATAAATTTGTGTACTACTTGTTTATTGTAATTGTAATTTATAAAAGCCCTCCTAGGGACAAGTGTTGCAAATTAGCTTCGGCTACAAGCACTATGGTACATGCATGGGATGATTGTTTTTTACATTTTCATCTATGTTTATTGTATCTGTCCCTAACAAATAAAACATTAAATAAAAAAAATAATGGCATAATAATCTGCAAAATTCATTTAATCAAGGAATTAAAAAAAAAAAAAGACTTCTCAAAGTGGTAATGTCAAATTTCAAAATATACTTGCTACTTATAGCAAATGGATGAGCGACACAATAACCAATCTGATAAATAATAAAAGACATAATAAGGTCCATGCCTTTACCTTGACAAGATTAAAATTTTCTTGAACAGCCCGGTCAAAGATTTTCAGCAGTTTTTTTAAAATCAGTATTCTTTCATTTATCTAGTTGGTTATTTATATAGTTTCACGTATTTCCCAATTTTTTTGTCAAATACTATTGTTAAATAATGTTAACTAAACAATAAGTTTTTAGTTTTTGTAATCAATCTGTAGTTATCAATCTGATATTTAGAAATTAATGAATACAAATTAAGTTACATTGAAAAGAAAACTCCAAAGTTAAAGATTAATAATTTAATTTTTTGTGCAAAAGTGCATTTGTGCGTTCTAAGACACACCTAGGCAGGCCCGGCGCCAGAGGGGGGGCCTGGCCCCCCCACGAACATCCCTGAAACAATCCAGTGTATCTGCCCTTCTGCTTTGGAAAGCGTCAAATGATTTTACAATGCATTTTCGCAGAGGTGAGCAATGTAGCCAATCACAGACATGTTTGTTGACTTCTAAAACGCAATGGCCAATCAGAGGTGTTTAGGTTGGACTCCACGCACTCACCGTTCCAGTGACCGTTTTTTTGTCCAGTGCTGCATTCTATCATGCTCGTAACTTCTTTCTAACAAAGACATTTTAAAAAGTTTCATCGTGTAGTCACGTTCATTGTCTCTTTTTTTACTTTGTGAGATCGCGATGAATGAGTGACAGTTTTTAATACATTTAAAGGGAGCACTCTTTGCACCGGTTCTGTAATCAGCGGTAAATCTCCATCACGTGCGTGCTTTCACATGGATCAGCATTTACTACACAGAGCCGTTGTTCACTGACAAGCTGCGCAAAAAATCGCGCGATTATGAACTTGGTTTTGTGCAGCTTGTCAGTGAACAACGGTTCTGTGAACCGGCTTTACTGACAAGATGCGCATTAAATATCGCATGCGATTTATCGTGCTGCCCTACTTGATATTTACTTTGAGAGCTGAAGCTCGCGATTATGGTAAGGGGCGTTACATTTCCGATGCGTGCTTGTGGTGTTCGGCCAATCAGAATGCACTGGGTCAGCTGGCCAATCAGAGCAGACTGTGCTTGTCAAAGGAGGGGGCTTTGTTGAAAATGATGTGTTTGAGAGAGGCGGGGCATAGAGGACCTACAATAATGTACAGTATTTGAAAAATAATGTGTTTTTTGAACATTAAAGCATGTCAACATATTCTGTTACAGCAAATACACAAAATAATAATCTTTAAAATAGCATCATATGATCCCTTTAATACATTTAAAGTGAGCAATCTTTGCATGCTGTATAGTGTATACGATAATGTAATCAGAATTTAAATAAAACTTGTTTTTCATGCTTGACAAGCGGCCACGTACGACACAGACAAAGCTAACTACTACACTATATAGAAAAAGATAATAATTTCAGAAGCACAGATGTGATTCTGCAACCGAGCCTGGTCCAAATGCAGGATTTATGTAAGGAAACGGTTATTATTTGTATTGGCTGCCACGCCAAATCATGCACACCTGCTTGCTTTTCTGTTTAATTTAACAGTGTTTTTGTGAACATATATATACTTTATTAACAAATAATTGTAACACTTTACAATAAGGTTCGATTAGTTAATGTTAGTTAATGTATTAACAGGTTAGTTAATTATTGTAAAGTGCTACCTAAATAATGTATTTCGAGCGTTCACTTGAAAAAATAACCCCCCCCCCAGGTCGTGTGTCCTGGCGCCGGGCCTGCCATGCGCATAAGTTTTCAGAGATTCTGTGACGAATATTTGCCTGTGAAACTCAAGTCCTCCTTTTGAAATACTCATTGTCTCTGATATTAGAACTGAGCACCCTCCACCTCCTTGTATGCAAAGTAAACGGTAACAGCTCCTGAAGAGGTCTGAACCGTCTCTGTCACTCCAACTACCATCCATGAACCCAAGCCATATGCCAAGCATAGTATACCTTAAAGAAAAAGAGAAAGAAAAAAAAAACTATTAGAAATTATTTATTGTGCTGTCAGTAATATCAAAACATGCGTAAATCATATCAGAACTGACCTAGGTTGATGACTTTCAATGCACCAAAAAACTTATTTTCAAACTCCAGGTTCTGTGGAGGTGCTTTGGTGCAGTGGTATTTAATAAAAGGGAAAGCACCGGTCCTGAGGATGTGGTAGTTTGCTCCCTGCACCTGCCAGTTGAAGTTGGACAGACCGAACTGGTCGTTGATGACATTCCTGTAGCACACGCAGAATGAAGTCCAGGGCGGGAGCACGCGATGAGTGAGGTGACATGTTAGTACTTCAGAGGCGGCAGGACGAGGCGCTTTACTCCCAAAGGTGCTGGGGAACAGGGCCACTTTTAGGAAGCCACCGTGGATTCTGCGTAGAATCTCTGTCATTGCTGAGTAAACCCTAAAGTCAGGTGGTCTAGTATCAAAAAGACGTTTCAAGAGCAACTATTGGCGCGTCACATCATTTCGTCACGATAAAAAAAATTAATTAAGCAACGTAAATCATTAATAAAGAACATCAAACCCAACCAAACTGCAGCTGTGCAACCTTTAATCAGCGGGGAAATAATGCCGAAACTTTCTGTGATGCCGAATCACTGTACAAGTCCCGCACTCGAGAGAACGGTTCGGTTGTCAGTGAAAGTTACACAACTTACCGGAGCGGCTTTCATACTCATTTGACAAATATTTACATTACTACTCCATTACTTTTACGAAAGTACGATTAATGAGTTCGTTTTCTGCAGATATATAAGAGGCGTTCAATGCAACCGGTACGATTAATATCTTCTCCGGGAAGAAACAACCAAGCGCTTTTTTTGTTCCCATTTGCTCTAGATACTCTAATGTGTACTATGGCTCTTCATTCTTATGCACACATAGACTTCCATTCATAAGTGGTATTACTCATAAAATACATTATAGTAATAGAACAAAATATTGGATATCTTAAATATCCAATATATTTCATATATTATATTTCCAATATATTATAAATATCCAAAATATTGGATTTATTAAATGTTTAATAATTTTGATTATTTTATATGTTGGTCAGTCTACATTTAAATTGAAACCATATCTGGAGCCAATTACATACAAACTCCACTAAATTTTGTTTGTTTATTTGTTTGTTCATCAGCTGGTCACAGCCAAATATAAATGGTTACAGTTCGAATCAATAACTGAATTTCAGATATTGGTCTTTTAATATTGAATATTTAAAAGGTTTTTTGATATAATAAAAAACACCTGAATCCACAAAAACTTTACAATTTATTTAAGGTTTTCTTGAAATAACATACAACAGATTCAAACTATTTATTAACAAACCTATATCATTATCTAGATGTTGCTACCGTTTAGAATCAGTGTGCATTGTAATGTACAGATAAATATCTATTTAAAAACTATCAAAAAAATGAATCAAAATGGATTATTTTTGAGTGATTATAATTTATGTATGCATTATACAGTTTACGGATTAAGCAACATTCCTCTGTTGCAGTCTTTAGCTATGAAGAGCTAAATGTCACGAATGGCACAACTTAATTGTAATTATCCTGTTTGCATTGTTAATCTTTCTAGAGAGAAAACTTGTACAACATTTTAGATCACTATAACAATGTGATCTGGACAATGTAACAATGGACAAATCCACCCATGCAGATTCATACATGCGTGTGTCTCCTTTTAATGCTAGCCACATTACAGCTATAATTGAGGTCTATAGAAATGTTTGGTAACAGCAATTATAACTGAATGTGTAAATGCTATTGTATGATAGTCCCTAAGTATGTTGATTAATTTGGGGTTGATCTGTGAGGTTTATGAGATGATAACTGTTTGCTTTCGGGTGCAGTAATCTCCTTTTCTTCCTGACATGTGGTTTGGTTTTGTATGGTCATGCCCAAGACCTTCTCAATGTCCTTGATAAGGTCCTTATAAAAGCAAACAATAGCAGACATTCAGTCAGTATATGTCTGACTACAGATCCTAACCTCTAGCCACTGAACAGTGAATGAGAATTCCTCTATCAAATTAAGTAACTGTGTGTTGAATGTAGTAATTCAGCAAGTGTCAATGACACTCCAATTCATTCACAGTATCCAACAACGTCTACAGTGTTCTACATTTGAATGACTTCAGCTGCAGATAATGCAGCCAAAGATAAAGCCTTGACGTTAATAAATGAATACCTTGTGTATTGTATAAGATGTTATGACACACAATTGACGATTTCTCAAAAAATGTGCTCAAGTAAGATGTGTCCTCACCTGAATTTGCCCAAAAGCTCAAATTCAGTACTCTTTGCCCCAAAAAGTCTCAGCAAAACTTTGGTATAATGCTGGTAATAATAAGCTTTAGTTATAATACTAACAATAATTTATTTAGAATAGCATATTTAGACAAGATTGCAAAAACAGTTCTATGCAAACTGGAAGTTAACCCTTTTTTCCCACTGCACCTGTATGGCCCAGTCTATTCATCATTTGCCAAAGGTAATATGCAACCAAATGTTGTGCCAAATTTCAATTTGACTTGAAAAATGTGAAATTATTAAATTAAACAACCTTGAACACTGTGAAAGATGAAGTTTGTTATTACTAGCATTACGCTAAAGTTTTGCAGAGCCTTTTGGAGCAAGTGGTGGAGTAGTGAACTTGATGCAACTTTTCTACCAAGTGACTGATTCTTACTTGCTGCGTTGTGGATATATTTTTGTTAAGGATTTGATGGTCATAGTTCATTCTGTCTTTGTAAAGTGACCCGGAGTGTTTGAAAGGAGCTAAAAACATTATAATATGTAATATGGTGAAACCATCAAGAATCATTGTGATTAATATCCTACACTCTCAGACAAAAAGGTAACAAACTGTCACTGGGGTATTACTATGTATTAATATGCACATATTAAGTATTAATATGCACCTTTTAAAGTACTAATATGTAGCATTTAGGGGTAAATAAGATAAATAAGATGCCTTTATACCTTCTGGTACCGCCTCAGTGACAGCTTTGTACCGTTTTCATAGAGTGTAATTTGTAGATACACGATCTGAAAGTGAAACTTTTGAATAATATTTTTTCTATGGCTAATGTGAAGTGAAGAACATACCATTAGCAGGTCTTTTAAGAGTAGGTTAAGAAAAAACAACATCCGCATACCCTAAAATTGTTTGTTCCTTGCATATTTGGAGCTGATATTTCCTGATGAATGATCGACAGGTTGCGAGCAAAGGTCAGCAGAGCTCCCTGGAGATCCTCCGAGATTGTTCTGTTAACGACACGCAGAAACAAACGAGCTTACTAATGATCCCCCAGAACCATCATCAGAGAAAAACAAAAAAACAATCACCTTGTTTGGCTGTGGGGCTGTAAGGAGCTTAATGAGAACTCTCAGCCTTAAAGAGTGTGCTATTCTTCAGGGAGAAATGAGGAAGGAAAGCAGGGCTTCAATGGGATAGGTATAGGATTTATGTGATGAATGTCTTTTAATTCGACTTGGCAGTATTTTGTGCTCTGACACATTTTGGGTTGAGGTATTCACTACATAATGTTTAATCTGCTCTTGGGAGTGTGCTCAAGGTCTAGATATATCTCTAATGGTAATGGGGACAGAGGAAGGGAAAACAGAGCTGGAGAAAGATAAGGGTAATGCGTCTGCCTGCTTCTTGTGGAAACTCACAGTATGCCAAGGCTTCTTCGATCTCTGCTGTCATGGAGGGCGAACACAGTGCCTTGCCTGAAACTCATATAAAATATATTGAAAGACTTGCTCTGCAATCAAAGAACTCCAGGTGTATTATTGCAAAACAAGCAAACATTTTACCTTGACATCATAACCTATGCCCTGTGCTTTGCACATCAGGAAAAATGTGCTATAATATACCAAAGAAAGATTGGTGTGAAGAAGTCGGGTGCACATCACTGCAAAGCGATTGGTCACTGAGGTTTGCTAAGGAGAAAACAAACACACAGAGAGTTAAGCAACAAACTGCATGTGATTCTGTTGCAAAAAATTTGACCAGTACATCTAAATGATAAATTGACCTCTCGGGGACAGCAATAACAGCCATGCTAGAAACAAATAGAAGGTTTACAAAAGCCCACACGGAGAAACAGGCATTAGTCTCATAGTCCATAAAGGGCACTGGGGAAAACGAGTCCTGCGTTATTAGGTTATACCGCTGCAGAAAACAAGAAAGGTTTCCTCTAAAACCCAACGACGCTCGCAGACACAGCAGATAAAAGATGTGTCTAAAAGAACACCACAGAAGCGGATTAGTTAAGAGTGGCAGGACTCGCAGGACTCGTAGCGGGCATGAGGCATATTCTCAGTGACAGATATGAAGCGGAGGGTAAAGCCCTTGCACAGTGTGCGAGGCATGAGTAATTATTTCCTGTGGAACTCTGTCTTCAGCTGTCAGACACACTATCCTCAAACAACAATAAAAAGCTTTTCCTGCAGGGTTTTAATTGTGTTTGCAATATTCTGGGCCTAAATGATGGCCAAAGCTGGAGCCATTAAGACAGGCAGGCGGGAGCTGGCCGATATAAGCACATACAAACTAAATTAATGTTTGATAAAATAATACAAGTCGCAGATTAACAAGCGTAAACTCCGGTTTGCCACTAATAAAGGAAGTCTATTGTTTAGGGGCTGGCATCAGGTTGATGAGGTGCTCAGGCATGCATACACATGCATAATGAATATGGTATGCATTATTTATGGGCTGATTATTTAGGCTCATCAATCAAAATGATAATGAATTCAGCTTCTTCTAAACACCAATCAGGTCGGAAGCGTAATTACAGTGTTTAGTTGTATTTAACCAAAATAAAACAAAGCTTAGCTAGATCAATCTTTATGGATGCCTTGATTTATCGGGATAATATTCAGCAAAGAACTTTTATTGCTCTCTGGTCCGGTCTCAGGGAACACATTCGGGATAATAATGGCATTATTGTGCTTTAAAGCGCTAAAAGAATCCCAAACAGTTTAGAGAATAAAATTTAAAGTGATGGTTGACCCAAAATTCAAAGTTCTGTCATCATTTACTCACCCTCGTGACTTGTATGACTTTTTGTTCTACTGTGGAACACGAAAAAGATAATTATAGCAAGATGTCCAAGTATGGCGGCAGTTCGTCTGAAATTTCATTTAGGCCTAAATTTAGTAACTTAAGTAATCTGAAGGTAGCTTTTCAATGTCACTTTTAAGTAAAAAAATATCTTAGTTTATTAATAAATAACTGATCTGTTTTTAACGAGCAGGTGAGGGAAGATCGAGCGCGAGGATGTGGGGAATGATCATGCGCGCGCGAGGGCTTGTATTGCGCGCAGAGGACGTCACGCGCGCGCGAGGGTTTGAAATGAGCTCGCGGGCTCCCGTTTCCTCGCGTGTAAATCTGTTTTCCTCTCGCGGAATTGATTTACCCCGCGCGCCAGCATCAGTGGTGCGCTCGGTTATTAATGGCATAGAATTGCCGCCATATTCCGTGCTGCTCTTTTCCATGCATTGAAAGTGAATTATGACCACGAATGGTGAAGATTTTCAAGGCAAGACTTTCAGTGAATAATGACGTTAATTTCAGTCTGTGCCTCACATTATATGCCTTAAGAACACTTATATAACACACAAGTTGCATAGACTACTGCATAGACTAGTGATTTCATGATATTTTTTTGACATCCCATGGTCCCCATCTACTTTATTACATTGGTTCTATTAATACTTTTATTAAGTAAGAATGCATTAAATTG